CACAGCCAACTCACCAAGACCAACTTGCAACAGCTAACTCATCACAGCCAACTCGCTGTGGGACAACTTGTCACAGCCAATTCGCCATGGGAAAATTCACTGTGGGACAATTTTAACAATTCTATTTAATTATTTAAAATAAATAAATATTATTTTATTTTTTGCCATTCACATTTCATCCTGTCTCTCCTTTTGCATCCTTTCTTTAATAACTCTATTCCACTAATTTTTTGATATTAGTGTAACTCCTGTCCTGCAGCAAGTTGTTCTGTGGCAAGATGGCCATGGCGAGTTGTCCTGCAGCGAGTTGGCTGTGGCAAGTTAGCCATGGTGAGTTGGCTGTGGTGTATTTGGCCATGGCGAGCTGGGCATGGCAAATTGTCATAGACCCTCACAAGAGACTATATTTGATGGGTGCTAGGAGATGGGCCTTCTCTGCTGTGGCACCTGCCTTATGGGCATTCTCTCACCCATCTAAACTAGATTAACTCCATCCCTGTTGATATTTAAGAAGTCCCTCAAAATTTGATTATATTGTCGAGCTTGGGGATTCCAGAAAACCAACATTTTAACCTGACTCCTGTACTGTGGTTGATATGCATACCTACTTTCAAATATGTTTGTGATACTTTACTCTTATATATGTTTATAATATTGTATACTTTAATATTGTAACTAATGATTATCCATATTTTATGATTATTTTTATAATGTTTTTATATTATTGTTTTATTTTATTGTTAAATACTCCCCAGCCATTTCTGGTGACATGGGCGATTATACAAATGTAATAAAAAAAACTTGTAAGGAAATTCAAAAAGAGTCAAGCAAGGATGCCAGCTGTCTCCATTTTTGTTTATTTTAGTTCTTGAAGTACTCAATAGACACGTAACAAGAGAATAAAGAGAGTTAAGTTTTAATAAGAAACTTACACGCTAAGGGCATTTGTGGATGATCTGATATTAGTTTTGGATGATCCAATGGAAGAAATAGAAACATTAATGGGAAAATTAAATGATTTAGCAGGTTTAAAAGTAATAATCAAAAGATGAAATGTTAACATGCAAAATAAAATTAGAAGATCAAATAGAACTGATGGTAAAATTGGTTTAAGAGTGAAAAAAGTAAAATACTTGAATATGATAAATATAAATTGTACTTTATTTCTAAATAATTATAGAATGAACACAGAATTGTAACATAAAATGAAATTAAGGAGGACACTTTAAGATGGGAGAAATTAAAACAGTCTCTGATATAGAGAATCTCCGATAAAAATGAATGTTTTGCCAAGAATGTTTTTGTTTCAGTGAATATCTGTTTTGACAACAGACACACCATTCAAACAATGACAAAAAGATATATCTAAATGTATACAGCAAAGAAAAAAATCTCTTAAGAGTTAATTATAAGATATTACAAGATACAAAGGACAGAGGAAGATTGGGTTTACTGGATTTGAAATTGTATTTTGCAGCTGGATGAAAGAATGGATGTTGCTGAGAAACAAGAGACTCTGAGTTAGAACGTTGTGACCTGAGGTTTGTATGACATGGATATTTAAGGCACATTAAATTAAAATCAATAGGGACTTTAAAATCATTTTATTAGATATGCCATACCAAAAAGATGTAATAGATATTAACCCAGATAGTGTCCAAAACATCTTTGTGGATCTCAGCTCAAGAAGCATATAATAAAAGAGAAACAGCAGGCAAAGATAAATGGTTCATGTACTGGGAATTATAGAAAAAGCATCACAGAGAAATTTAAAATTAAATCAAGAAAAAAACTAATAGCAGAAGGATATTAGTTGTCAATGGTTTTCTCATCAGAAAGATTTAAAATGGATAACAAGACTTATGGTACACAACGAAATAAGACATAATTCAAAGTACAAAATCCAATTCTAATCTTAAAGAATTAAAGGCATGGAGAGATCTGGCCCACAAAATCGCCAAGAGTTGGGCATGACTGAATGGATATCATCATGATCTTAAAGATAATCTTTTATAAAAGGAGGTATATTTCAGAGAAAGTATTTAGAATGTATAAAGGCTTTTTTTCCTTCCTAGCATTTTTCCTGCAACTGCAGAGTTTGCTTTTTTGGATCAAAGGAACGTTGATCATTTGGTTGTGACAGGAATTGACCAATGGCTTTTTGTAAAGATTAAAGTCATGGGCTGAGAGTGACTGGACTAGTCACCAAGCTGGCTTTCATGCCTAAAGGCAGGACTAGAACTCAGTCTCCGGGTTTCCAGCTCACGTTTTAACCACTGTACAAAGCTGGCTCTCTATAAAGGCAGTTCAAATGAATATTGGAAATGTGAAAAATACAAACATTCTATCATGCTTGGTGGATATGTAAAAACAAGCTAAAATATTTTTTTGAATTTATGAGACTTGTATGCCACCTATCTCACCAAAGGCACCATTAAGTGACTTACGGGCATAAGATGCTGAATAGAACAAATGAATAAAGATCTTAAATTTAAAGATTCAACTAAAATTCAAATACATATACTAATATTGAGGATTTTAAAGAGTAATATTCAACTGCTGCTAGATTTTTCCTTTGAGGTTGATAGTTAGAAAAAAGTCATGGAAGATTATTTCAGCATATGATTACTTTGGCAAGATTATCATATACACAAAAATAGAAAGATTCAACACTACCTACTATGATAAAATTGACAGAGCTTGCTGAGATAAATTGACTTCTTTAGAGAAAAAGCAATGTTGACATTTATTGGTGACTGGAAACCTGTTACAAATTTTTTGCATTAAAATAAAAAAACCAAATTTGTGATTGATGGTTTTACAGGAATAAGAGTCATGATATGACTTGAGAGAGGTTGAAATATAACTGTAATGCTGTGAAAAATCAGAAGTTACTTTTTCTTTTTTTTCTATTTCTTTGCTTTTCTTACATTTTAGGTCTTTAATTCCTTTTTGCTACATTAGTTTGTATTAGTTTTAAATCTTGCTTTTTAAAAGTTTCAATGCAATCACACATGAAATGTTTGTAAAGGCATTCAGAATTTTGCTCTATGGATTGTCACATTAATTTTTTTCAGTGAAATATTATTCTTTATTACACCAAACACAATATTCAACACAAGTTACTTTGTAAGAAGGTAAACATTACAGCCAGTCTATTATTTATTATAAAATATTACATAAGTGAAAAGGCTTAAGACAAAAATGTGTAATGCAGTCATTCCACCTTGAAAATTACATTCAACAGAACCTGTTCTGGTTTAGTCAACACAAACTTTTAATGAAATATAGTCTCTGTATCCATAACATTAAAATGCTAAGAACATTTTTTGGTTAACTCAAACCTGCATGCTGTATCTTTAGACATCACTATTTTCACTTTTGGTAATTGAAACAGACAAGGGCAATTGATAGTGGCAACCAGACAGTGCACCCCGTTTTCCTGTTTATATTAGCAATTAAGGGAACTACAAGCTTAAAAAAAGATCTTCCTTTTTTATGAATAAGGGAAAAACTAGAAGATTGAATTTAACAACTTCTAATGCCACTCAGCTATGAATTTCCTAAAGTTATGTCACTGTAATAAGCTGCAATAACCGCATAATAATTCATGTAAAAACAAGAACTCACAACTGTCAGTTAATGATCATGCAAAAATATAGCATAAAAGGAACTTAAATAGTCAGAAACAAACTTCATTAATTAGCTCTATGAAGGAAAGCTATGAAACAGCCCTATGGTTCAACTACTCAAAAAATAAAAATAAAACAAGAGATTACTAGAGCATAATTTTTAAAGCAGGAGCACACCAATGTTCAGAACAGACAAAGTAAGGACCAAGGTCAGAGATTCTACCTGAGATATGATGCTCAATCACTTTAAATGTGACAGAACAACAAAACAATTTTTCTATTGAACCTAAATTGCAACACTGAAGCTGCCTGACATTGTTGCCTGCTGCTTGGATCCAGCATACTTAGCAGTTTTATATCAGTCTGTAGGATATTTTCCAACTAACATGCTTCATTTAGAAGGCACAAGCATGTCTGAGCTACAAGCTGTGTTAATCAGATGCAAGGAGTGGCTAAACTGATGTAAGCGCTACAAGACTCTCAGTTTTTGGCTTTCATAAATGAACACAATTCTCCTCCATGATCAGCTTCGCAGTATCCTTATTTGCCAGCTAAGGGACCCATACTAAGTAACGTGTCAAAGCAGAAAGTAGTTGATTCCCTCTGAACTTAGGTACTGACAGTCACAACCAGTAAACAAAAATGCTATTATGTAAAAATATAAGGGGGAGAGAGTAACACAATTAGCAAAAAAAAAAATCATTTTTAAAAACAGTTAGCTTGGAAATCTAAAAAAAAAAATGGCATAAGCAAACGGAATGAAACTGAAACTTCAGCAGCTAAGAGAGATGAACCACCAAATTCTGCAGCAGGAAGGATCCCAAGCGAATCCAGATCAGTTCAACACAACTCGATGAGCTTGGGCAGGGCGAGAGACCTAAAGAGATCATTCTTACACCACACTCCTTGATTATATTTGGGGGGGGGGAAATAGTTTTGGGCACCCCCAGCCCCAAAATCCGGACCCCCGTCGTTTCCCACCGATTTTCACGAAACCAGGATATGACACACACAAGCAGCTTAAATACAATGAACTCCCCCGGGCTCGATCATCCCCTTTCAGCCCGCTGTCCTTTTTCCTAGAAGACACTTTCCAAAGTTAGGATATGGAGATCGTCAAGGGATGCCACGCGGGATGATCCTTCGGGGTTGAAATAAAAAGCGGAGGGCCCCAAAGCCCGTAAAAAAAAATCCAACCCCCCCCCCCAAAAAGCCGGGCTGCCCACAACCCAATGAGGAGCCTTCCCCCCCCGCCCGCCATGAAGCCTGGCCCCACTTGTAAGAAAGAAAATCGGGCGTCGAGGGCCCCGACCCAGAAGGCGATCTAGGCAACTCCCCATTCCCCTAAGTCCACTACCTGACACCAACCTGGAGACCGCCATAGCCGGAAAGAGATGGAGCTACAGCCCGGCCCAGTAGGGAGACAGTCCCCCGCGGCTCGGGGAGGAAGGAGGTGGCAGGACCCCGGCCTGGCCTTAGGAAAGCACGCCGCGGCCCCGCAAGCGAAGGGGCGACTACAGGCGGCTCTTCCTAGCGGCGGCCTAAGGCCCCCTCCCCTCTTCGGCCGCCCTTGCGAGCAGCAGCGACCTACAATACAGGCCACCCAGATTAAAGCCTCTATTCCTCCATCACCAGGGAGAAGCCCGACGCCTGGTTTTATATGAGCAGCCATCTTGTATTTATTCCCTTCCTCCATGGAAGCCGCTTCCTGATTGGCATGGACGCCAGACCGCAACCAATAGGAGGCGTCGTTTGAAGGAAAGAGCGGGGGCGGGTACACAGAGGGGCTGAATAGGAATCTACCATTCGAGTTCGCAAAAGTCCGTTGAGGAGTTGGAAGAAGAGGAGGCGGCGTTTGGCCGCCATTACGGGAGAGGGTAGTACCAAGTGTACAGTTGAATGGAAAGATTTAGTTAGACGGGGTTTGTCGGTTAGCCAGCCTCAGAAAAGGAGAAAAGAAATCATTTTCTGGCTGCGCGGTGCGCTTAATTTGTACCATGAAGTGATGAACGCATTAAACGAAGAGGAAAATAATACCGTAACACCCCCCCATGAGCCTGTGTAATAGGAAAAACCCCTTTTCATGGGGTGGGATGATCAAATAACTTTGCCTGGCTGGGGAGTTGGAGAACTACAGCACCCAGCATTCATTGCAGTATCGGCGCTTAGAGTACTTGATTTTTCTTCTGCCCATCTATAAAGCGAAGCGGAGGAAACTACGTTTCTCTTGCGATAATTGGGATCTTTTGAGGCCAACTTCTCGAGAAATTGACGTGTTCTCAGGAGAAGGAGGGTAGCGGCTCGTTCTATATAGAATAGCATATTCGTCTGCAATTTTATATAGCAAGCTAACGAGATTTAATTCACAAGAACAAAAAAAGAGCAGCACAATACAAACGGTGCAATTTAGAAAAGCTTTTGGGCTACTTTTTCCAAATCTGAATGATCCAATGCAAAGAATGCCTTCCAAGAGTGACTCAAAAGACCTGTATTCGATAAGTTCCTGCACCAGATCATGTCTGCATTTGCACAGCTGATCCATGGTTAATGGCATGGGACTTTACACGAGGGTTGTAGGTTATGCTGAATTAGGTATACTATAAACCTCATGAATTGGTTTTGCAACTGAGCTAAAGGAGCTACCTCATCTGAATTGCAACCAGCACATTACAGTCATCCATTTGCTGCCATCTGGTAGTCTTTTTGACAGTTCTGCTACGCAAAAACACAGATTTATTGATAATTCCATGAGTTCACATAGTGCAGTAAGATACAAACTACAATTTCTTGGAATGTACTAATCAGGCTGTTAAATTGGCAATTGAACTGCCTTGCTTACTTTCCTTGTGCTTTAATATTCTGTTCCCTTGCCTGAAACTTACTTTTCATACAAATCTATTTTTCTGGGTCATTCACTACTGTAGGCATACTAATACTGTACACAGGAGTTTGAGAAATAGAAAAAAGACAGACTTTATTAGGTAGTCCAGAGGTGCTTCATTAAAATATTTGACCAAATTTTAAAGAAATAGACTTTAAAAGTTTATGATGAATTATTAAGTTTCTGTAGAGAGTAATGCATTTGCATTCTCATTGCCTGAACTATTAAATATTATCTTTTGTGAAGTGGGGAATGCCATGGCCTACTATCAATTCATCATTTTAATGTACATGTAATATTTAAACCTCCATATGAAAGAAATTTAAACTAGTATAGAAGTTGGCAAAAAAACATTATTAATTAGAAACCTATCTTTAATAGTTTAATTAACCACAAAAGAGCACTGAAGAAAATCTGTAATATACTCTGTCATCTTTACACTTTCCAACTAAAATTAATAATTTAACCTATTTTGCAAAAAGTTACCATCCTTACCTCTAGTTTGAACTACACTATTGTTTCAAATATTAAACACATACACAACAGTAATACCAACTGTACCATTCACCCATTACACTGTTGGTTATTTATATTTAGAGATTATATATGATTTTTCCACAGGTGGCAATTGCTACAAACTGGGATGCACAATCATAGAAGAGATTCAGAAAAATAGCAAAAAATATTTTCTTAGAATTATGTGCTAACATTGATTATCCAAATAATCTTATCACAAAAAGTTTTTAATTAAGATTCCTGATTCATAGTGTCTTGAAATTTTATAACCTAGATTTGTCAAAGGTGACTACATCTGGTTTGAAGGCATTCAAGATCATGATACTACCAGGTCTGCAGAAAGAAGATAAACCAAAACCCCAGTTAAAGAGAAGCCCATGTGAAGGTGGATGACAGGATAACTATGCTAGTTAATTTGGTGTATTCATTTGTAAGACTTATTAACAGTCAGTCTAAAAATCTCTAGGTGATGTACAAAATGAACAGTTAATGCTTGATTCACATAATTTAAGCTAGCCTATAGTTGACCTAATCTGATTTACTTAATTTTCCAGGACTGCATGATTCTTTGTACTATAAACTAGTCTTATGGGTTGGGTTTGTATAACAACTAAAATACCATTGGTTAATTTGTGTTTCAGCATTCTGCAAAAAAAACAGCTAATGTATTGGATGGATACATTATTATAGGTAGTATGTCCATACTGATCCTTAAAGTAGCTAAACTATTATGTAAATGTATCCATGGTAAATGTATCCATAGTAAATGTGAAGGTCTGTCAGTTATGTCCAACTCTCGGGCATGGTGCTCATCTCTCTTTCTTGGCCAAGGCAGTCAGCGTTGCCCAAAGACAATTTCCATGGTCATGTGGCCAGGATGGCTATATGTCAAAGGTGCATGGAATGCTGTTACCTTCCCACTGAAGCAGTACCTATTAATCTACTCACATTTGCATGCTTTCAAACTGCTAGGTGGACAGGAGCTGGGGCAAGTACAGGTAGTTCTCGAGTTACAAATGTAATGGAGCCTACCCATTCCATTCGTAACCCAAGGATTTGTGGGAGTTAATCTTGTACCTTGAATGGGATCACTCCTTTTGCCCCTCAGAAGCTCCATTTTGGATCTGCCTCTCAGAAGCTCTATTTTGGATCTGCCCTCAGAAGCTCCATTTCGGCCAGCAACATGCAGGACGCATGTTGCAGAGCCTCTGCAGTTGTTCGTAAAGGCGAACAATTGATGTGGTGCTGCAATATTCGTTGTTTCAGGACTTGTTTGTAAACTCTAGTGGATGCTTATCCTGTAAGATTTGAACGTTCACTAAGGGAACCCTTGTAACTTGGGGATTACCAGTAATGGGAGTTCACCCCCTTGCATGGAGCTTGGGTGTCGAATCTAGGCTCTCAGATCTCCAGCTGACAAGCTCAGCGGCTTTAACCACTGAGCCATGGTACGCTGGCAAAAAAACAGCGGTAGGTTGGCTTAAAACAATCGTGCTGAATTATGAACCAAGGTGCCATACAAACCAGTGTGGCTGGGTTTGCCAAGGTGAAACCAAACATACATTATGCATTGTCATAATAAGTATACCTGCCTTTCATTATGGAGTATACCATCAAGTAATTATGATGAAATTGTGGCCTTTTTCTTTTTGGAACTTTTTAAACTTTGCCAATAGGTGTTCACAGATAACCAGAGTGATAAAGAAACAATGTCATGCCTGCATTGATGCCATCCCTCAAACTCTGTCCTTTAATTCCTGAATCCTGATGTCAGATTAGTCACCAAGATCACATGGCAATGTCATGACATGTTTCTTGATCTCACCTTCCCTCTCCACAAAGTTATCCACTTCCTTTTGGGATTTAAATCACATAGTGCATTATGCGTTTTCTGACTAGTGGCTACTGCAATGTATTGGATATGATTAGGCAAAAAAGAAAATGAGATTGTTCAGTTTTACCCCTTAGAACTTCCTGCAATGTTTTCTACTGTTTCAGTTCCCCTGTCTTTTTTTTCCTAATCAGGAAAATAGAAAAAAGTGTGTCCTCCTACCCTTTATATTTCCTAGGAATTCCTGGACTCTATAGATGAGGCCCAGAAACATTCATGGAAAATGGATTACTCACAAGGTTTTTGCAGTGCACTATTTTCCCTTTTAATTTAGAAGTTTCTGAAACCAAAATAAAATCCCTTATAGAATGGAAAGTGATCTCATACAGAAGTGTCTACAAGCAAGTTGACATCTGTGAATTGAACACATGGTACAGAGAGGACATTATAAGAAAAACAAGAGCAGCTAATTTTAACTATTCAAACAGAATCAACCCAACCCTATAGCTCAATGTTGCCTTTGTGAACGATATTAATCTAGAATGTTTATTTAATCTATGCTGCAAATTCACTTCTGTCATTTTATTTTCTCTTTTTGAAAACAACAGCTTTGGGAAAGAGCTGAATTAGATGTGTAATCTCTGATCCTGTTTATTCAGCAGTCGAGTTTATTTCTTATCTGCCTGTTGACAAAGGCATGTTCACTTTTTATCTTTTGTTCATATGGGGTGGATCCGGGCTCCATGGAAAAGCTGTCCCAGCTTTTCATGCATGAATAGTACTTCCATAAAACATACTCACACTTTAAATTGTGCCTCGCTTACTGTCTGTGAGCATGGTGCTTAAGTGTATGAGCCAAAGGGAAGCATATATAAATTAAAATATTAATAGCTTCATCAAATTAATACTACAGGCCTCTTGACTATGTAATATAATAATCTTCCAGGCATGTGGCAAAGCCACTTTTCTGAATCTGAGGCAACTGGGACATAGATTGTGCCAAACAATAATGGGAGACCAGAGATCTAGGATCAAGTCTAGCTTCAGCCAAAGAAATACACTGAGTCCTTTTGTCTCAAACCAACATAACCCTTGGAGTTGTTTTTATGGGGGAAGAATGGGTGGGGGAACATTATTGCACACACTCTGAAAATGTGGTATAAATCTAACAAATTTAGAAAACCATTTTGGTGCAACAGTTAGGGCTGGAGTGGAAAACAAAGAGATTGTTAGTTCTAGCCCTCTCTAATGCATGAAAGCCAGCAGGATGACTTTGGGCCAGTTGCTCTCAGTTCAACCCATTTCCAAGATATTGTGGCCTCTGATGAATGCCTGCCAATAATTTGACTAACCAGCTAAAACTATAGAAAAAATGCCTCCTCTACCTTAACGTTTAGACTATTTTCATGGGCAACTTTAGACTATTTTCATGGGCAACTTATCCTCTACCTTAACGTTTAGATTATTTTCATGGGCAACT